CTTAACTTCCATGCCACCTGCTGGCCCTGCAATGGGGACTTTTTAAATGGTCAGGGTAGGCATGAAATTAGATAATCTGCATAAAATATGTAAAAGCCTCTCACGTGATGTGTACTTAATAGATGTTAGGCATTCTTTGCCTAACCCTAAGTTTACTTTTTTTTTTTTAACTTTGCTGCATAAATAACTGTTTTGAGTTCAGTGCTTTATCCACAATGTTGATTTTTCTACCTTTTCTACCTTTCTTCTGAGATTAGCTTCATAAAAAGAAAACAGTTGTAGCAGAACCCACACTGGAATAGCATTCAGGTGGCCTTCCTGTAAGGTCAGCGTGTATATTTGCTTGTTGTGTGACTTGGACAGATCACTTCTCTCTGAGTCTTACTTTCTACACATTTATCTGGTTGCTTTTAAGAGCTTTTAGAAAGTCCTTTACAAAACTGGGGCCAGCAGGTGGCATGGTGGATAAGGGTACTGGACTCCCACGTGTCTGATCACTTTTTATCTCTTTGTCAAAAATAAATAAATAAATAAAGTTAAATAAATCTTTTTTTTTTTTTTAAGTCCTTTACAAAATTAAGTGAAGAAAGCTGGTCCTATGGCCTACTAGTTAAGGGAGATGGATCCCCCATGACTGACTACATAGAGTTCCTGCCCTAGTGGCTTGAAAAACACACAGATAGGTGTGTGTGTGCCCCAAGTCCCAACATGGGGAAATGGAGAAGGGATGGTGGTGTGTCCCATGTCCCATTGCAGGGGTACTTTCTCCTGCTCCTCTCTGTGCCTCTGTCTCTGGCAAGCACAGGCACCCTCTGGCTATAAAAATAAGAAGTAAATGAAGCTGTAAAGGCCACTGTGTGGAGCAGACGCTGCATCCCATGTGCAACCACAAGCTCATTGTTTCATTAACTCAAACCGTTCTTTAAACCAATGAGGGGACATGGTAGACTTTAGACGTTATGTTTCTTAGATGACAACAACTTTGAAGGTTCTTAAATGTGGGCGTGTGGTTATTTAAAAATAGCCACAGACCCAGCCATAGTGGTACAAGTGGCAGGGTACAAGGCTGGGGTCATATTGGAGATCTGGGGTCCACTCCTAGACCAGCCTAAATGGCCAGGGGTGGTGGTATTCACCTGGAGTCCTGGCTGGTTGGGGGACTGGGAAAGGCAGGTCATGACACTGTCAAAGTACCTCTTTTTACCCCTGTTCTTTCTCACTTAAAAAAAAAAAAAAAAAAAAAAATTAGTAATTATTAGGTTCCTTGGATGTTTTGTCAGACTACAGTGTAGACACTTCAGATAGTTTGTAATTACATTTTATTCAGCTAGAATTTGAAAGCTTATTCTGTCTTAACTCTGAGCTGGCCACAATGAAAATATTAATGACTTTATTTGTATGCATTTTTTTCAAAAATGCGTTCACGTGTCCAGTCTCACTTGATCCTTGTTTTCAACTTTATGAGATAGTTGACAGGAGAAAGAAATTGAGGCCTATAAAAGTCACATGAGGGGCCTAAGAACCAAGTGGTGAGTTGAGACTCTTAGCTAAGGGTTCCAGTAAAGACTCCATGAATTGGCTTAAAACCTCTAAAATTGGGACCAATATATGGCATAATGGTACGTTGCTGGACTCCCATGCGGTCAACCGTGGTTCAAGCCCTGAACTCAGTGGCTTAAAACTCAGGCCAGACCCATGTGCGTGCATGCCCAAAGTCTCAAGAGGAGACTGGAGAAGGGATTGTGGGCATGGCCATCCCCCCCCTGGGGGGGGCGATTTCTCTGTCTGCTGAGCACATGCTCCCTATAGCAAAAATCTCTGAACAAGACAAAACCCCTGTAAAATTGAATAGAGCATTTGGTGTGTAGTGTGTACTCTCGTGTTCCTAAGGAGAGGCTACGGAGCTTCCACTGGACTCTCAAAAGGTCACTCTTGACTCCAAAGCAGTGCAGATGACGATTGGCTTTGGAGCTCCTACTACTCTGACACTTGAGGGGCAGGATTACTCCCTTTTTGGTTATACCATTTCCTGGAGATTTTTCAGCCCATAGTAGTCATTCTTTGATTGAATCTTCGAAATTATAGCTGTTCGCAGGTGACCCTGAGAGTGGTTAACACAGAAGTGATTCATTTGCTGCTGGAGTGCAGGGGTTGGGGGCTGACTTAGTGAGGGTCGCCCCCTTCCCAGTGTCACCATCTAGCAACCCTGCTTACTTGCAGCTTTTTTTTTTTTTTTGAGGTTTTTTTCATCTTTTTTTTTTTTTTTGAGAGGTTTTTTTTTTTTTTTTTGGGGTTTTTTTCATTTTTTTTTTTTTTTGAGAGGTTTTTGCTATAGGGCACGTGCGCTCACCAGAAAGACAGAGAGAGACAGAAAGCGAGAAATCACCCCCCGAGGGATAATCATGCTGCAATCCCTTCTCCATTCTGTCAGGATCATGGGCACGCATGCACACATGCCCTGTGTTAGTTTAAGCTACCGGATCCGGGACTCAAACCGCGGTCAACTACATGAGAGTTTATCGAAATAGCCATTACGCTAACTACTGGCCCTGTCTTGAGTTTTTTTCTTCTTAATTGTTTTTTTAAAAAATTTGTTTGTTGGGAACCAGCAGTTAGCGTAATATTTTAAAAAAAAATTTGTTTGTTTTAATTTGACCAGAGAGGGACAGGATGAGAGAGAGAGAAAGTGAGAAAGCAAGCTGGCAGGTCTGGGACTTGAACCATGGTCAGCCATGTGGGAATCCAGTGCCCTTAACCACCATGGCACCTGCTGGCCGCTCTTTGGAGAGATTTTTGCTATAGGGTACACATGCTTGCCTGAGAGACAGAGACAGAAAGAGAAATCACCCCCCGGGGGGATGGTCACACCACAGCCCCTTCTCTTCTATTCTTCTCCTAGGAGCTTGGGCACGCACACACACATGACGAGTTTTAAGCCACCAGGTCTTGGGCTGGAACCACAGTTGACTATATGGGAATCCAGCGATGTAACCATTTCCCACCTGCTGGCCTCACTTGTAGCCTTATTATTCCCTATGTCTCGGGGAAGAATTCTTTGCTTAGGTGGTTTTCTCAAATTGACAGCTTTGAAAGACTTCAAGGTATGTTCCTTTCCAATAGCAATAGCTAGACTCTCCCTTTCCTCTGTTTTATATGATCTATTTTTAAAAAAGATTTATCTATTTAATTCCATTTGTTATTATTATTTTTTAAATTTGACCAGACAGAGAAAGAAAGTGAGAAAGCAAGCTGCTAGGTCCAGGACTCAAACCGTGGTCATCCATGTGGGAGTTGAGCGCCTTTAACCACCATGCCACCTGCTGGCCTCCATTTTATATAATCTTATTGCAGTTGTCATTGAAAAAGTATTTCCACTCCTCTCTGGAAAGGGGCAAGTAGTCAGTAAAGAATTTCAGCATTTCTGTGAGTGTGTTTCTTTGTTTTATTGCCAGAGGGCAGATATGGTGTCAGAGAGAGACAGCTAGAGGAGAATATACCCCCAGTGGGGTGTGGTCAGGTTGCAATTCCGGTTCCTCATTTCTCCATCCTGTTGGGATTTGGGGCACATATGCATTCATGCCCAGCATTTTTTTCAAGCCGCTAGGGCAACATTTCAAACTGCGCTGGCCATGTGGGATCTGACCCCAGGGTTTTTGTTTCTAAGTGAAGAGACTAAAGTTCAAAGAGATTAAATATCATTCTTGTAATTTTCAGATATTATCTGTCAGAGAAGAAAGAGGAATTATAGACTTCATGATTGCTAGTGAGTCTGCTATAACCCTAAAAGCCCCCACTCGCTCAGTATGTGCTACTTCTAAATTGGCTAGAAGGTTTTTTTTGTTTGTTTGCTTTTGTTTCTTTTAAAATAATTATTTTATTTAACTTTATTTATTTATTTATTTCAATTCGACCAGAGAGGGGTAGAGAGAGAGAGAAAGTGAGAAAGTAAGTCCAAGCCACCAAGTCTCAGACTCAAACCACCGTGGCCATGTGGGAGTCCACCAGACTCAAACCACTGTGGCCATGTGGGAGTCCAACACACTTAACCACCGCGGCGCCACCTACTGGCCCATGACTAGAAGGTTTTAGCTTGGGGCGGACAATATGAAATACTAACTAGACATCTTTCTGACTCCTAGCTTGCTTGACGTTGAAACCGAAGAAACTCACTCAGATCTATTGGGACCTCCCTGTTCTCATCAGTAGATCAGGGAGAATTCCAGGTGCCTTTCTGGGTTCTTTACTGAACAGGAATGGCAAGAGGAGGTTGGAATGAAGTCTTTTTTGTTTGTTTTAGTTTGCCATAGGGCATGTGCCCTATAGAGAGACAGAGAGAAAGTGACAAAATGCCTCCCTTCCCCCCAGGGATGGTCACACCACAATCCCTTTTCCATTCTTTTCTTGGGATCTTGGGTGCACATAGATGTTCTGGGTGTGATTTTTCAAGATACCGGGTCCAGAACTCACACAGCGCAGTTGACCTTGTGGTATGCAGCCACCTTAACTTCCATGCCACCTGCTGGCCCGGGAATGAAAGTTCTAAAAAAAAAAAACTACACAGAGCATCTTATGGGAGTCTCCAGGGCAAAGCTGCAGTGTGTCATTATGGCATGTTAGGAAAACTCACTGCATTTTTTCATTTTAGCATTTCAACATTGTTTTTATTTCAGCAAAAATAAATGTTCCTAACATAATTCATTCTCTTTTTTGAGAGTTTTTTTTTTTTTTCTATAGGGTGCGTGCACTTGCCAGAAAGAGACAGACAGAAAGCGAGAAATCACCCCCCCCAGGGGGGATGGCCACGCTGCAGTCCCTTCTCCTCCATTCTTCTCTCGGGATCTTGGGCACACACGCACACGCGCCTGGTATGAGTTTAAGCCACCAGGTCCGGGACGCAGACCGCAGTCGACTACATGGGAATCCAGAGACACAGCCATTATGCCAGCTACTGGTCCCCATAACTCATTCTTACATACTTTTTTTTTTTTCCTTTTCAACAGGTATTGTTCCGGTTGGTCACCTTTGTCTTGAATGCATTTATTCTTCACTATCTGTCGAAGGAAACTGTTGGCGTAGTGAATGTGAGGTAAGAGGGAATGCACCCTGCCACTCTCCACAGGTCACACCCTCAGTCAGGTTTTCTTCAAACTCCGTATCTGTGTGGCACCTCCGGATTTTTCTCCAGAGACAGAATGTTGTAGCAGTGGGCTGAGGAGGAGCGTGCAGCAGGGGTACGAGCAGGTGATGTTGCTTTCCTGGACCCATGGGGTGTTTCCATTAGCAGCTGCCAGGTGCACATCTCAGACAGCCATTTCAGTTTTCCTGCTCTTAGAACCCAGGAGAAAGGTGGGAGTCATTCATTGCCAGCCCTGCCTCAAGTACAATCCTGTGTTCCTGTCCTGCTGACAGTGGAGGAGGCAGGAACTCTGCAGTTTGCAAGGACATGCGTCATGGCAGGGTTGGAGCCACCCCCTTCCCTCCCTCCTCAGTGATTTTTTTCTTTTATGATTAATTTATTGGGGACCAGCAGGTGGCATAATGGTTAATGTGCTGGGCACTCCATGGGTAACCACTGTTCGAGTCCTGGACCTCATGGCTTTCTTTCTCACTTTCTCTCTCCCTCTCTGGTCAAATTGAAATAAATGAATGAGGGACCAGTAGTTGGTGTAATGACTATGTCACTGGACTTCCCTGTAGTCGACCATGGTTCAAGTCCCGGACCCGGTGGCTTAAACTCACACCAGGCATGTGTGCATGCATGCCCAAGATCCCGAGAGGAGAATGGAGAAGGGATAGTGGCGTGACCATCCCCCCTGGGGGGGTGATTTCTCACTTTCTGTCGTCTCTCTCTGCCTGTCTTTCTGGCGAGTACATGTGCCCTATAGCCAAAACCTCTCAAAAAAAAAAAAAAAAAGAATAAATAAAATTAAATAATTATTTTTTAAAAAAGATTAATTAATTTATTTGATTTACTTTTTAATTTGACCGGAGACAAAGAAAGGGAAAGTGAGAAAGTGAGCCACCAAGTCCAGGATTTGAACTGGGATCGGCTCTGTAGAAGTCCAACGCCTTAAGCCCCCCTCCTCAGTGGTTTTATAACTGGGATACAGTGATGGGATGAGTTAAGTCCTTGTCCCTTTGCCTTGGAGGTCTTGGGAAGCTGCCTGCTTTGTCTTCTAGATTCAGCTTGTTTCTTTCCTCTCCTCCTCCCTGTTCAAGGACACCCACACACATTTTGTATTCACAAATGACACAGAAGTATATGAAATGATGCAAGTGCTCGGAATAGCTTCTCAGGTGTTTCTTCTTGTCCTGATAAACAAGACAGTATGTTCTAGACAGCCTTTCATGTTTAATGCTTGCCAACATACACTTTTTTTTTTGGACAGTTTTTTGCTATAGGGCGCGTGCGCTCACCAGAGAGACAGAAAGCAAGAAATCACCCCCAGGGGGGATGGCCACACCGCAATCCCTTCTCCTCCATTCTCCTCTCGGGGTCTTGGGCACGCAATCACACGTACCCGCTGTGAGTTTAAGCTACCGGGTCTGGGACTCGTACCATGGTTGACTACGTGGGAGGCCAGCGACATAGCCATTACACCAACTGCTGGTTCCCCAACCATGTGCTTTTGGCTCCATTCTCAGAGCTTAGTGACAGTTCTCAAATTTTGATGGGCAAAAGGAATCATCTAGGGAGATTTGCACTAGGTAGAGTTGAGGAAGTACCCAGGAATCTGCATTTTTTACAAGCTCCTTTGATGTTTTTTGTTTACTTATTTTTAAGTTTTGCCATAGGAGGCATGTGCTTACCAGGGAGAGAGAGAGAGAGAAATCTACTCCTGGGGGCAGGGGTGTGTGTGGCCATGCCACAGTCCCTTTTTCCTCCATTCCCCTCTGAGGATTTTGGGCACACATCCCCATTTGCCTGGCATGTTTTTCAAGCTTCAGGGTCCAGGATTCAAACTACATAGTCAGTCATTTGAGAGCCAGTCACTTTAACTACCATGCACTGGCTGGCCCAGAGGGCCAAATCTTCTCAGTGCTCAGATTTTTCCCCCCATGCAGCCTTCCCGAGATTAGAGGCCCCTGCTTTGACAGCCTCATCTGGCCTGCCCGGTGCTTAGAAGCAGTTCTGTCTCCTGGTTCACAGTGAGGACAGAGGCACTGTGCAGCAAGGGCCTCTCAGGGTCCTTACCACTGGGTGCAGCCCCACTCTTGCTTTGTCTGCGCCACTGCGTGTGGCAGAAGAGAAACTTCTGTTATCCCTCACTAAGGTAGGAGAGTCGCCCCGTGTTGCCCACCCAGAAGTACCCAGGCAAGCCTAACCAATCTGGGTTGCTGTAGCCCCTGGCATGGTTGCAGAGTCTTTCTGCCTCTCCTGAGATTCTTTTGGCCAGAGTCTCCACTGAGTAGCTCTTCCACTCCTCTCAGAGGGGCTGTCGGGTCTCTTGTGACCAAGAGGTCCCCCTGCTGGGTGGAGTCATGGTCTGGTCCCTTTCTCTTTCTATAGTCAGGGACACATTTCTGCTGTGCCCCAGAGCCGGCAGGCTTCTGCTGCACTGGGGCAGCTTCTCTCCCAGGTGCACCTCTCTAGGCACACACATTCAGTGTTCCTTTTTTTGATTCCTAACTCTATTGTTTTTATTTAAGAATTAATTAATTAATTTAAAATATTTATTTAATTATATTTGTTATTGTTATTATTATTTTTAATTTGACCACAGAGAGACAGAGAGAGAAAAGGAAAGTGAGAAAGCAGCCACTTGGTCCAGGACTCGAACCGTGGTTGACCATGTGGGAATCTAGGACTTTTAACCACCACGCCACCTGCTGGCCCCAAGAATTACTTTATTTAACTTTATTTATTTATTTATTTTTAATTTGACCAGCGAGGGACTGAGCGTGAGAGAGAGAGAGAGAAAGTGAGAAAGCAAGCTGCCAGGTCTGGGACTTGAACTGCAGTCGGCCATGTGGGAGTCCAGCACCCTTAAACCACTATGTCACCTGCTGGCCCACTAACTCTCTTGTTTGCATGGGTTGGACTGGGAGGAAATCCTGCAAGAGCTCACTGTCTTCCATATCATTGCAAGCAGTTTACAACCAAGACCTTTTCCTCTCTCTGTTGCTGGAAAAATCCCAGTTCTTTCTGTGACAAAACTGGAGACCCTGCTGGTTTCTGCTTTTCCTTCACAGGCTAATGCTGCTTTACTCCACCATCATCTTCCTGGCCAGAGAGGCCTTCCGCAGAGCATGTCTGAGTGGGGGCGCCCAGCGAGACTGGAACCAGACCTTCAACCTCTTGTGGCTCACGTGAGTTGTGCTTTGGCAGGAGACGAGTTTCAGGAAGGCAAGCGTACTAACTTGTGAGTGAGTCAGCAGCCCCTGCCTGAAGTTATGTCGTGTCTAGCGTCAGCCTGGCAGTGGGATTCTAGGGGCCAGGTGTGCGACAGGAAGGTGAGAGTGTTTGTCCTGCAGGAGCTTTTTGGCTTGTTTTTCATCTCGGTGTCCAGGAGCTGGAAGGGGCTGCAGGCTGGGATCTCTGGGACGGTTTCCAGCCCTCGTTCATTCCTCTGTGTAGGTTGCTTCTGCTCTTCCTGGTCACTACTCCGGGCCCCAGTTGGCTTATGCCATCTTTTTTTTAATTTTTTTTTATTTATTTATTTTTTTTTGAGAGATTTTCGCTATAGGGCGCATGCGCTCGCCAGACAGACAGAGAGAGACATAGAGACAGAAAGCGAGAAATCACCCCCCAGGGGGGATGGTCACGCTGCAATCCCTTCTCCTCCATTCTCCTCTCAGGATCATGGGCACGCACGCACACGCGCCCGGCGTGAGTTTTAAGCCACCGGGTCCGGGACGCGAACCGCGGTCGACTACGTGGGAGTCCAGCGACATAGCCATTACGCTAACTGCTGGTTCCCGTGCCATCTTTTTTATTCCTAGTCTTTGTACTATAGTCTCTGTTGAGCTTTTTTTTTGGAGAGGTTTTTGCTATAGGGTGCGTGCACTCACCAGAACAGAGAGAGACAGAAAGACAGAATATGAGAAATCAACCCCCGGGGGGATGGCCATGCCACAATCCCTTCTCCTCCATCTGCTTTCAGGATGTTGGACACATATGCACATGCGCCCAGTGTGAGTTTCAAGCTGACAGGTCCAGTCTCAAACCACAGTCAACCCTGTGGGAGTCCAGCACCTTAACCACTACACTACCTGCTGGTCACCATCCTCATCTTTTAAATGGGGCTAGTGACAGGATCATTCTGAGGTGTCGGGTAATGGGTGTGATGCATGTATCAGCACCTTCACTTTTATTTTTTAAGAGGTTTTAGCTATAGGGTGCGTGCGCCCATCAGAAAGACAGAGAGAGACAGAGAGATAGAAAGCAAGAATTTGCTCCTCATGGGGGATGGCCATGCTGCAATCCCTTCTCCTTTATTCTCCTCTTGGGATCTTGGGCAGGCACGCACATGCGCCCGGTGTGAGTTTAAGCCACTTGGTCCGGGACTCAAACCGCGGTCGACGACATGGGAGTCCAGCGACATAGCCATTATGCCAACTGCTTGTCCCGTGGTAGCTATTTTTTTTGTAAAGAATTGTTTTATTTAACTTTATTTATTTTAATTTGACCAGACTAAGGGGGAGAGAGAGAGAGAGAAAGAGAGAAAGTGAGAAAGCAAGCCACCAGGTCCAGGGCTCGAACTGTAGTCTGCTATGTGGGAGTCCAGTGCACCACCTGCTAGCCCCAATTTTTTTTTGAGAGGTTTTTGCTATAGGGTGTGTGCACTCGCCAGAAAGACAAAGAGAGATAGAGAGACAGAAAGTGAGAAATCAACCCCCAGGGGGGTGGCCATGCCACAATCCCTTCTCCTCCGTTCTCTCGGGATCTTGGGCACACTTGTGCACGCGCCCAGTGTGAGTTTTTAAGCTACTGGGTCCAGGACTCAAACTGTGGTCAACTACATGGGAGTCCAGCGATATAGCCATTACAGTATGCCAACTGCTAGTTCTCCATGTTAGCTATTTTCATAATGACGTTTTTTCCCCAAGTTCAGTGTTACTATTATATATTTATACAGTGTTTGTTTTAAAACTCAGTATACTAAGAAAGATTTTTCCCCTTCTAGAGTCCCTCTGGGTGTGTTCTGGTCCTTGATCCTGGGCTATATCTGGTTGCAGTTGCTTGAAGTGCCCAATCCCAGTGTTGTCCCCTACTATGGAACAGGAGTGCTGCTGTTCGCTCTCTCAGCCGTGGTGGAACTGCTGGGAGAGCCCTTTTGGGTCTTGGCCCAAACACATCTGTTCGTCAGATTCAAGGTCAGTTATCTTCTGCTATGAATGGGAAATGCGAAGAATAGGGAAAACATTATTTTTTTCCTTAAGAATTATTTATTTAATTAAATTAATTAATTTATTTTGCTCTAGAGCACACGTGCTCATCAGAGAGAGGGAAAGTTAGAAAGCAAGACACCAGGTCTAGGATGCAAACCGCAATCAGCCGTGTGATAATCCAGTGTCCCAACCACCATGCTCCCTGCTGGACTCCAAAACATAGTTTTAAAAAAATGCTTTTAGGGCTGTCTACACATAGCCTAATAGCTAAGGGAGCTAGATCCTACATGGCCAATCGCGATTTGAATCCCAGCCATGGTGGCTGGAAGAGCATGACAGAAACCTGTGTGTGCGTGTGCCCCAAATCCCGACAGGGTGGAAAAATGGAGGAGAGGGGACTATGGTGTGACCACACCCCACTGGGGAGTGCCTTTTCCCCTTCTCTCTGGTGAGCGTGCCAACCCTCAGGCAATTTTTTTTTTTTAAAAATGCTTTTATAGGAGAGAATGATTTTTGAAGACTTGTATCTAAAAGAGTATTTGGAAAAAGATAGCATGATTCGTTAAGTCTGTGTACTTGGAATTTGTCCCAGGGCCAGCCCCATAGCTACGTGGTTTAGGGAGCTGGACCTCACATGTCCAACTGCAGTTCGAATCCTGGCAGCCTGAAAAACGGGCAGGGTACCTGTGTGTGCCTGCTCCAAATCTCAACAGGATGGGAAAATGGAGAAGGGATTACAGCATGAGCACATCCCATTGAGGGGTGCTTTTTCCCTTCCCCCTGACTCCCCATCTCTGTCTCTTTCTTGTGAATGCACATGCCCTCTGGCAATTAAAATATTTGTCTATTCGGGTAGGGCTAATGTTTACCCTTGTTATACTATAAGTGAAAATCAGGATTTCTAATAATGAAGTTATTAGTTCAAAAAAGAATTAGGACTGTACAGTTTTTTTCAGATTTTGCTAGTGTTTTTTATTTAACTGTGATACTAATCTTTCCTTTCACCTTTTTTTTTTTTTAAGAGATTTTTGCTATAGGGTGTGTGTACCTGACAGAGAGACAGAAAGGTAGAAATCACCCCCAGGGGGGATGGCAACTTCTGGCATGAGTTTTAAGCCACTGAATCTAATACCTGAACTGTGGTTGACTACGTGGGAGTCCAGCAATATAACCATTACGCCACCTGCTGGTCCCTTCCCTTCATCTTTTAAGATATATTATTAGATACATACAAAAGAATATATATAACGTGTAAATCTTAGAGCACAATGTACTGAAGATCTATAAACCCACCACCCAAGATGTAAAACATGACCAATAGTTAGTCTGGCCCCACCGCTAGGGTAACCACTACCCTGGATTTTCTCTCGTTCATTCCTTTGCGTCTTTACTTTTTGACCAACATTACCACATTTCACAGGTGATTGCCGAGAGCCTGTCGGTAATCTTCAGGAGTCTCCTGATAGCATTTCTTGTGCTGTGCTTGCCTCACTGGGGACTATACATTTTCTCTTTGGCCCAGGTAAGAGTCATGGCTTTTAACTTTTTATGTAATTTGTGTCTCTCAATCTGGTTTTTCTGCTTGTTTCTGCTCCTGTGTGGTTTACATTTCCAGTATCGGTCTTGTGAGGGAGACTGAAAGTGCAGGAAGGCTGGCCTTGAACTGCTTCTCCTTTGGCTGTCATGGCCATCCTGTCCCATACACTGATAGGACTGATGTCCCTAGGGACCTAGTGAAGACACACACTGGGCCCCATTGTCAAACATCAAAAACTCCTTTGAGATGTTCTGTGGCCAAGTCACAAATTGATCTTTGATTATCTGATAGTCTCATGGAGGAGAAAAAAAGTAGGAAGGGGGTGGGGTGGGAGTCAGGTTGCCTGTGCATTATTTTCCCTGGATTCAATCAGTCGTTTGCAGAATAGGAGGAAGTTCTGTTGAGCCTGTTTTAAACTTAGATTGAAATCTCACATAATTCAGAGTGCATGAGTCAAGTCAGAACAGGTACATTTTCAGTTTTAGTAATCTGGGCTTTATTTGCTTCTCATCATTTTCTAGTTCTAGGTCACATTTCTAGTTCTAATAAAAATATAACTAGAGTGCTATTTTTAAAAAATGAAACCCAAGATCAGGTAGTTACAAAATTGGTATAGCACAAAACAGTTTATGGTTTTTATTAATATATAAGAAAAGTCTTAGTAATGACTTATGTGAAGTTTTTTCCAATGTCTTAGGCAAAAACTACAAATAGTTTGTGGAGCACAGCAAAGCTGGGTTTAAAATGAATGAAGTAAGAATGAGAAAGCCTCCTAAAGGCAATTTGGAAACAGTTGCATCTTTTAGGGACATTATCTGTGATTATGTTCGGCTGTGTTTTATTGGTCTGGAACTATAGTTCTTATTATTTGTCATACTTTTTTTTATTATTATTATTTTTAAAGAATTACTTTATTTATTTATTTATTTATTTATTTATTTATTCTAATTTGACCAGAGAGGGACAGAGAAAGAGAGAGAGAACATAAGAAAGCAAGCCACCAGGTCCAGGACATGAACTGTAGTCAGCCATGTGGGAGTCCAGTGCCCTTAACTACCACGCCCCCTGCCGGCCCCGGTTATTTGTCATTATTTGTTTGTTTTTTAAATACTTAAAAAAATTTATTTAATTTTATTAGTTATTATTATTTGTTAATTTGACCAGAGAGAGAGTGAGAATGCACTTGCCAGACAGGGAGAAACAGAGAAAGCAAGCTGCCAGGTCTGGCATTTGAACCACATTTGGCCCAGTGGGAGTCTTACGCCTTAACCACCATGCCACCTGCTGGCCACTCATCATTGTTTTTTTTTTTTCTTTTTTTTTTCTTTTTTTTTTTTGAGAGATTTTCACTGTAGGGCGTGTGCG